TATAATTTATTTAGAGACAGTCTCACTAAGTTGCTGAGGCTGGCTTTGAACTTGTGATCCTCCTGCCTCAGCCTCCAGGAGTCGCTGGGATTACAGGGGAGCATCACCACGCCCAGCAAATTAATTATCTTAGGTATTACTGAAGGGAAAAGCTGGCTAACGGTACCTTAGTAATGAGTCAGAAAATTTTGTCTCTCCCTCTCTCTCCCTCGGTCTCCCACTCAAGGCTGCAGTCCCCCTCCTAGGATTGCTCACGGGCACTATAGGTATACCAGTGGGGTCCTATCGCTCAGCACCGTGGTGCAGTATGAATGCAAGGAAGGATATGCTCTCCTAGGAGCAGCTGAAATCTCCTGCCGGTTTTCAGGATGGTCGCCTCCAGCTCCTCGGTGTAAAGGTAATCAAACTCCCAGCAGAGCACTGTGAAGCAGGTAGAGCCTGCAGAGTGGTTCAGAAGTGACTCAGAGAGAACAGGTCCTGCCGGCCAGAGTCACTGTGAGTTCACACTTGGTCATGGTTCTATTTCAAACATCCAGGAAATAGCACTCTTGTGTTCTTAGTCAGTTCAGAACCTTTCAGGAGACAGTGGCCTCCCTATCGGGGTCACCAGGCTATTTTGGAAGAATAAACAAAATGTCCATAAAGTTATTTCCATCATTTCACTATTTTTTTTTTTTTGGGGTACTGAGGATTGAACCAAGGGGTGCTTAACCACTGAGCCACATCCCCAGCCCTCTTTAATATTTTATTTAAAGACAGGGTCTCTCTGAGTTCCTAAGTGCCTCGCTAAATTGCTGAGGCAATACTTTACCTTTGAACTCATGATCCTCCTGCCTCATCCTCCCAATCCGCTAGGATTACAGGCGAGCACCACCATACCTGGTCCCATCATTTCACTCTCAACAACTCCATGACCTAAGTTGCTGTCACTGCTTTCATTATATACAGGAGAGAACCAAGGCAAGAAGAGAAGTCCTGCAGCACAGAGAGTCCAAAACCTGGAATTAGGTCTCCTGGGTTCACTCAGGCTGTGCTACTTACAAGTGCTCTGTATGACTTGGGACAAGGCAATTAGCTTCTCCATACCTCCGTTCTCTCTGTAACGGGCACCCTCATAGTCTCTCTCTCTCACAGGGTGGCTGGAGGTTACATGAAAGATGCACCTGAAGTGCTTGGCACATAGTTGACATGTAGCAAGTGCTCAGTAAATGCTAGCTAGTAACAATCTTGGCAGAGCTGGTGGTGGTGGCCATGGCAACAGAGTTGGAAGACTCCTTTAATTGATTTTCAGTGTCCAAACGTGTATTCTCTAAGAGAAACGAGGTGCTAAGTTAATGTGTTTTGATTGCAGCTCTGTGCCTAAAACCGAAGATACCCAGTGGAAAGTTATCTGTGGAGAAGGATCAGTATATCAGCCCTGAAGCTGTCACCATCCAGTGTGACCCTGGCTACAAGATGATTGGCTCCCCATTTATCTCTTGCTCAGAAAACAGATCTTGGAGCCCGGCTGTGCCTAAGTGTGAAAGGGTGAATGATACTCCTTCAATGAACTTTATGTCATATGACACCTTATAACAAATTCCAAGTGAGATGGTTTATAAAATAGGAGGAGTAATGTGTCCTAAGGGATGGTCTCAGTTGTCTGGGTTAGTATATGTGGTGTTTATAGGACAGAATCTGTCCACTTTGAAGCATGGTGATGTGTCTGTATTGGTAGCAAGTTGATTGCACTTGTTTTTCAGCAGGCCAGCCCAGGTGGACAGGAGAGTAGTAATAACCAAGGTCCTTGGTTAATAATATTCTTCCTTGACCCCAGGAAGCATTTTTGTCTAACATCTGCCATGCTTTTGCTCCATTTCTGTTTGGTCAGCGGAACTAGCATGCCAAGTGTGCTTTCAGACATTTTTGGAATTACCATGAGCTCCAACTCCCTCTCTGCTTGAGTTGATGGTAATGATTACCTAAGGACTGAGCTCTCCGAGAAATATTTACTAGGTTCCAAAGTATTTTTTCTGGAGTTTTCTACACATTCATCTTGGCACTCACCTTGCAGCCTACCCCCTATTATCCTAAAAGAAGCACAGGCCTTTCCAAAGAAGGGGAAATTTTGCAAATTCACTGTTCTGGTTTTCTTTTTCAGGAAGCCCCTGAAGATCGTGACATAGTGCTGGCAGGCAAAAACCTCTTAGAGTGTCTCCCAAACCCCAGGGACTCCAGAGTGGCCCTGGAGTTACATAAACTGTCCCTGGAGATTGAAAAACTGGAGCGAGAGAGAGAAAAGGAGAAAATCATTTAAATGATACATTATACCTCTTTTCCTGATACAGGATTTGCTTTTCTGTACAGTGCTCGAAAGAAAACCTCAGCTTATCAACTCCACTTAAGCTTCGTCACTTATTGCAATAAATAATGTGGGTAAAACTTGCTGAATGTACAGTGACTCTGGAATGTGGAATTATTGATAATTTATATCACTATCACTCTGCTTGAGTTTTTACACTACTGGATGTGGCAGGCCAGCTAAATTAAATAACCACCTATAAAGTTTAGTTTGTCCTCACTGTCATTTGGATGTCTATGTCACATAATATGTGTGCCCTGCACAAGTCCACTTCCTAAAGTTAGTTGAGTTTCTTTTCCATTTTAATAAATCCCTGTGGTTGTGAAGGGCAACGCATTCCCTGACAATGTTCCTGTGATCCTCTCTTTCCAGACACCAGGTGCAGAGTTAGTAAATCCCATTCCTTAGTTTATGAATACCTCTCTCCCTCTTCTTCCTTTATCTCTTGATTATTGTCCCCATCTCCCTCTCTCTGCCCTCCCACCCCCTCCAATGTATTTGGTAAATGTCCTTAAATATGCATATCCTTCATTACGTTTCTGACTCCCAAGTGCCACATAAAAGGCCAAAATATGTGTTTCCCATGTTTTGTTTACTCATTCCCCTAGTGATCACCATCAAGGTGGCCTCCAGCTCCCCTTTTCCACAAATGACTCTGTGATGAATGCCTTTATATGTGTCTCTTTACAAAACTACGTGAGGCCTTCTTTGGATTTATATCCCCAGAAGGAGCCGCAGTATCAGTTTACTTCTCTGTGCTGAAGAGTGTTTTTCTCTCTATACTCATAAAGCTAGAGAGTATTTTTGCCTCACTGATTTTTACCATTTTCATAATTTTTACCATTCTTTTTAATATCTGGAGAATCTGCTGTGAAATTACTTGTCGCTTTCCTTATATTGCTAATTCACGTCTTCTCTCTATTTTCTCTTCCTGGTCAGTCTGGCTATCAGTTTGTCAATCTTGTTGATCTTCTCAAAAAAAAAAAATGAGCTTTTAGTTTGATTTGCTCTGTTGTTTTTATCTTAGCGGCTTCATTGTTTTTTTTTCTTTGATCTATTTAATTTTTTCTGCTTATTTTGGGCTTAGTTATCTTCTTCCATTGGAAACCAATGGTAAAATATGGCCACAGATGCTTCCTGTCCTTGTATCCATATCCTTAATAGTTTCTCTCCTTAGAAAGAGAGTCTTAGAAGGAGAGTCTTTCTTCATTTCTTGAATTTGAACCACTTTATCCACTTTATGGAACTTGGTGCTCATCCCCAAG